AATACATAATTCACTGAAGTGAATCTGAAGTGAAAAAGCAATTCTGGTATTCTCTGTGAAGTAGTGGTAGGAATCCTTCCAGAGGGTAAAAAACTGATGATTAGCAACATCTCAACTTCCAGGTAGGCCTCTCCTAAACACTTATAATTCACTTACTCTGCTGCAGATCATTATTCCAAAGGTTTGATTCATTTGTAGCTTCACTTGGGACTTAAATTGCATTTCGAAGTACTCCTATCATTCATCCATTTTCAGAACTGCCATTAGAAGTGATGGGAATTTGGCATAAAAATCAATGAGAGGATATGATATGAGTTATTTCTAAATTTTTCTTCTTGAGCACTATCTCAAGTACAGTTTGTGAACTCTATTTTTTAAAGGTGTTTTTCCACCTTGCTCATTTTACTTAAATTGAGTTCATCAACTTGAGTTCATAACAAAAAGTACATAAGTTTTTCAGAAAAACTACATTCATTGTCACTATTGTTAACTTACAGCTAAAGTTATTTAATAATATTAAGTAAATTATTTTACCTTAAAGTGAATCCATATCAGTTTTGTGGTTTTATAAATATGGACTTATGTTTACTACAGCATCTAAAAATAGTTATGTGTACTTAAACACATTTTATTTTATTTTCCCTAGTAAGTGATGTGATTTTTTTCACTTATTTTATTATTATAAAAACAATAGTTGATTTGGAAAGATAAAGAAACAAAAAGATTAAGATGTTACTAACAAGAGTACTTAATTTTGTTCTCTATTTTCATTTCTTTCCCGAATAGCAAAATATTATCTTGTGAACTGAATTTATTCAATAAGCATCCTGCATGCACATTCATCTAAAGCTCAAACTTTAATTTTATAACTTGAAGAATTTAGTTAAGTGGATAATGTTGTCCTATAATGTTATAATTTTATAGTAGTTCACCTCTCAACTTTGTTGAAGGAGCAAAATATCCCCTACTAGTATGAATAAATTATTACAAGCATCTCAATTAAAATATAAATTGATTTAGAAAAGGCACTGAGTGAGTCAGGAATACTTTTTATTTGTTAGTCTGAAAAATACCTTATAATAAAATAATCTTTACTTTCACATGAAATATTTGATTAAAAAATAGAAGTAACAGCTCCTGGACCTTTATTTCTGGTATAAAAATACCCATCTATCTTTTGCTTATAATGTTTTCAGTGGTCATAGTCCTAGTCATTGTAGTAGCCGTGGGATTTGTGATAGTAGCAATTCTGATGCTATTAATAATAATAATATTTTTATAATTATGATGATGTAATTATTTCATCATCATATAATGAATAATTCTATGTACAAGGAATAGACTAAGCATATTTTTCTTACTTATTCAACAGTATTCTGGTAAATTAAGCCTTTCAACTTCATTCCTCAGATACAGAAACTTCTCTCATTCAAAGATGAGGCATAGTCTTAATCTTCTAGACAACCAACTAATACACAGAGGAATCATGAGTTAATTCTGTTCACTTTTGTCTATAAACCCATGGTATAATTGTATTCGTGTACTGTTTCCACACAAAGTCATAATTAACTTAAGGAAAAAGTATAGAAGATAGAACAAAAATAGAAAAGTGGAAAGGATTATTTACACTGCACTCTCAAATCTTCAAAGGGATTAATGAATTCCTTTCAATTTTAAAAGATTAAATCATTTCAATTCAGCACATTCTTTAGAGTGGTTTTTCTAATTAGTTGAATTCCATTCTGTGAAAAATATAAAGAAATTTTAGCATTTACTTTTGGGGTAAATTTAGTAAATTTTGGTCAGTTTGATAAGTTAATATAAACCGCAAGGATGAAAATAGATAAAGTTATTAAAATGTAATTTATCAAAATTTCCCCTTTATATCTGTTTCAGGTTTCTTTTATCTAATTTTAATGTCAAACTACTTGGTCTGTTTTAAATTAGCATTGCAAAGGTTGTTGTGCAACTATTAAATTATTACATATATTTATTTCCAATATATAAGAAATGCTTTGCTAAACTATAATTTCAGCAACATGATTTATTGTATAATACTCCAGGGGCGGCCAGGAGGAGACCCCAACGGCTCTTCCCCGCACCACCCGGGTTCTGGGGGGCTCCAGGCCGCTCACCCAGCCTGGGCAGCTCAGGCAATGGGGCAGACGGTGGAGGAGACGAGGACCAAGACGGTTGATTGATTAGTTGCCGTTTATTTCATTCTCCCCATGCGCCTGCCTCAGTCTCTCTGAGCCTCCCCATTCTAGTCTCACACTGCCCCTCATTCCCGTCTCTTCCTCTCTCTCTCACTCATCCTTCCACACTCCATCTTGCAGCCTGGGCTCTCCTTGTGCCTGCTCCTGTATTCTTCTACATCCTTCTCCCTCTGTCCACCTTGCTAGTCTCTCCAACGCCCACCTTGCTACCCTGCTCTCTCTCTCATCTCTCCAACTCTCTTCCTTCCTAGCTCTCTTGCCACTTCGACTCCCCAGCACTCTGGGCTGACACTGCACCCAGTCTGCTAGCAAAATCAACCTAAGAAAGCCCTTCCTGAGGGCCCACCAAGTTCAAAGGAAACACCACCTAAAAGATTCCTGACTTCCCAAGTGCAAAATACCGCCTAAGGTGTTTTTCTCATTTCCCCAGTCCAATGACTCTATCAACATTTTAATACTCGTTTGTTTGTTTGTTTGTTTGTTTGTTTTGGTATAGACACAGAAGAGATAACATTGAGGCTTGTAGGGCAGCTCTCCTGGGAACATCTTGCCACAGACTCAGACTATAGAGCTCAGGCCAGATTAATCATTCCTAATCCTAGCAGGGTCGAATCTAATTATTATATTTTGGATCATGACAACATTTGTCCCTGACCAAGCTCTTAACTTATAGTTAAGCATTATGGCATTTTGGCCAGGCCCATCTCAATGCCAGGATAGCACATAGCTTAGCACTCACCCCTGGTTCTATCCAGTCCCTCGTTGGGACTCTGCTTTTGGGGGTGCTAAGAAGTAAGGGCAGCTGAGGCTTAGGTTGAGAGAACAGATGCCCAGGAGGAAAATATCACTGAGAGTCATGTTACAAAAGCATAGCATATACTGTCTTCTTGTGTCCATACAAAAAGGACATTGCTCTGAATAAATTATGCAAAGGACTTAGGGCGAAGAGAAAAACAATATTTACAAGTCAACAGAGCACAAAGAAAGAAGTTACAATTAAAAACAGAGGAATGGGAGCACTGTGATGGGAGCAACCCAATAACCCTAAACTACCTGAGGCTATGCACGAAGGACAAAAGTGTTATTCTACAATTTATGTTGTTGGAATATATTTTTTCTTAGTACTCAGTTGTTTACATCTGAGTGAAATGCTATGAGACTGACTTCTTTTGGTTGTAGTTCAATTTGCTAAGATATAACATAATACATCATCTGTGGTATCTACTCTTTCCATAGATTTTGTTTTCTATGAATCAAAGTTGTCAACATAATTAAAATTCAAGACTTCTTTGATGAGGAGATATCTAGCCCTATAAAGGCAGAAATTTACATAAAGAAAATGAGAGCTACTAAAATTTAAATGTACATTCTATTTATAAAAATGAAATAAAAATTAAGTTATAAAGAAAAATGCAACATGAAATGCTACTTCAAATTACTATTTTCACATGCATGTACATGCATACTTTTATTTATTTATATAGAGAGATGAACATATAAATATAAGAAACACAAAAGCAAGTAAATATATAAACATATATGAATTTACATACAAATATGATAATACAATTTTATAAACCAAGGAAAGTGTATATAGGGAATTTATAAAAATACAACATAAATACAAAAGAAAACATAAATGTTTATTTCTAATAATCATAAATACAAATAAAGACATATTTTCCTCCTATATGATGACAAATATCCTACACACTGGCAATATCCAGGATGATTGGCAATAAGAAAACAGATTTCTAGAATAAATTCTATAAAAAAAATCAAAATTCAAATAAATATATGTATTCTTCAAAACTATATAAATACTTTTATATTTATCCCCCAAATTCTATACTTAGAAATTTCTTCTAATAAAATAATTATTAATGAGCAGTGAGAAAACTTCTACCAGTGTCTAAGGCAGAAAACCTAACTAATGCATAGTCACCAAATAATACAACATACAACTACTTAAATGATATTTTTAGGAGCACATAATGACTTACTCTTTATAGATTGCATAGTGAAAATACATATGCCAGTTTGATGATTAGTTGTTAAACAATACAATTATGTTTAATATGAATATGTACATTAAAGAAGCTATATATAGAACATGTTATAGCAATTATTTTTGGGTGGTGGGTTTCAAATTATTTCTTTATTTTTATATTTTTTGATTTTTCTGTCACACGTTGACTCTGAAAGCAGAAATAAAAGTCACTGTATTCAACATTGCTCTCTCTTAAATATCCTAGGACACTTCTCAGAATAAAAAAAAAAAGAACGTCTTTAACAGAAAGTTCCAGACTGCAGCAAAAGCAGGGTATCAAGAAAGAATTCTGTCCATTTGAACTGTGTTAGAATTGATGTTGGTTCTACTCCTTTTTCTCCCATGGAAGAGATCAGTTTGCTTTCATTTATCACTGACATATGAGCCTAAAATCAAAGTGTGAAAAAGCAATTTAACCCCCAACCCTATTGCTCTTGAGAACAGAGGCTTTAGGGAATGGTAGGGATGAAGCAAAAATGATTGAAAATTATAACAATGCTAGCAATATAATGGCAGTATTTATGGAGTTCAAATAAGGAATACTGGTTATGAGATCATGCTTTTAGGATGGAGAGTAAATTCAGAGGCGATCATGTAGTCCTCCACTAAAACCATGAATTCTACTATTGAAAAAGGTCTAAATAACTTATGCATGCTTACATAGTATGTTTTTTATCACTAAAATTTCATATGCACTTCAAAATTTTAATTTTCCTTTCTGAATCTGCGACTAGGAAATGCATCTACTACCACAACTGTGATAGACAACAAAAATGGATCTGTGCCCAAATCTCCTGGGAAAGTACTGAAGAGGACAGTCACAGAGGACATAGTCACGACATTCAGCTCTCCGGCAGCCTGGCTCCTGGTCATAGCTCTCATCATCACATGGTCAGCTGTCGCTGTCGTTATGTTTGACTTGGTGGACTACAAAAACTTTTCAGGTAAGATTCATGAAATAAGGAAACAGAGCTTACTCTTGGAGCCTGTACTCTCTTACCACATACTTCCTTTATCTTCCCTCACATCTTTCTAAATAAGTTTTATCCAATCAAAATGATCTTGCATAACACACACAAGGAAGGAAGGAAGGAAGGAAGGAAGGAAGGAAGGAAGGAAGGAAGGAAGGAAGGAAGGAAGGAAGGAAGGAAGGAAGAAGTTCAGGCTTTCTCTTCCCCTCAAGTTAGAGTGAGAAACAGCACTCTATCATTCAAATTTGCTTGAGGGTTGCCAAAGTCCAGTTTCCTGTCCACTTTTCTCTTTCTTTTCTTTCTTTTCTTTCTTTGTCATAATCATTGTTTCCCAGGCTCCAACCATAATAAACATCCTTTAAAAAGAGCTTAACAAAGTCTGTATATTATAGTTTCACAAAGATAATAAAAAATACTTAGTTTTGTGCTAGGCCTTTATTAAACATTAATACAGAGTAACCTGTAATTCTACATTTGGCAGTAGGCAACAAATTAATTTAAGCTGCAAATTTTTGAACATATAGAAAACTACGTAAAGTAATTTTATATCCCTCTGCCGTCTGCCTCCAATTTTCTTTCCAGACATGCTATTTGCTCCTCCCACTGAAATATCTGATTTCTAGTTCCTGTGAAGAAAAATTTGCTAAAAGAACTTTCCCAGAATTATATATATATTGAGATACTACATCTTGAATGTGCGTGCATTCTTTAGAATTAGGAGTAAGGCAAGTAAAGAAAGAAATTTTTGTTATTGTCCATTCAGTCTCTGAGTTTATTGTTTATCTCACTCAAGGTTTGCATTTTTTAAAATTATATGTCTATTTTCACATGCTCTATTGACAGAGCTCTTTGAGGGAATGATTTAGGTGCTCAATAAATGTTAAATTAATAGATGAATGAATTTATGTTCATCACTTTTTGAACAAGCAGAAACATTTCATTAACATCTTAATGTTCTTTATCATATTTGTGTCCTTTCCCATTTTTCTTTCTCTAGTAGAAGTGGAGTCAATAAAACTCAGAAAAAATATTATATATATACACTTTATTATATATATATATATATACTTTAATTGGCATTCTGTAAACCCAGACATTCTTTGTTTCTCATTATATAACTTACACATTTAACAATAATGTGTTAACGTACTAAGTGCCTACTATATATTCTAGTAGATAGCTATGGTAAAAAGAAATATATAAAGTGTAGATATCGCGGATGTCATAGGATATATCACTGGAGATTATTGACATGCGGTTGTGGTTGTGATTACTTAGTTTCTGATTCCACTGATTACTGGGCTAAAGCAAGCATCATCTAACAAAATTAAGTCCCTCAATGTCAACCAAAGTGAAGGGCTATTCATCCAGAGCCATAAGTCATAATTATGAATAATCTAAATCTTTCATATTGTGTTTTTACATATTGATCTAATTAGGTTATATATATACACACATACGTAAACATGTATAGCTATGTATGAATGCTATTTTAATATCTATTGAAATACTATTTATTTACATGACTATAAACTATGGGTTTTTTTTGTAAAGTAAAGTAAAGGCCCTCCCGTTGATCATCGATTTGCTCGAGCGGGCCCAGTAACGTCTCCATTGGAGACTTTGTTGTTACTGTGTTTGGCATATCAAATACGTCACAGGGAGCTTGCCAGGCTCTGCCGTGAGGGTGAGATACTCACGGTAGCTTGCCGGGCTCTCCGAAAGGGGCGGAGGAATCGAACTTGGGTCGGCCATGTTGGCTGCGTGCAAGGCAAACACCCTACCGCTGTGCTATTGCTCCAATAATAAATAGTTGGAATCTGTCAGGGACTGATGAAATAATTTTCTACTTTTCTGGGTTCTTCTCTGGCTGAATATGTAATCAAAATAGCATTAGACAGGCAAAGCAAATGAAAAACTAATTTAGTAACATACAAATGGAGAATTTGCATAAAAGTTCATTAAAAAAAATCAAGGTGGACTTTATATATATATATTGTGTTTTTAGGCACATGAGGCCAGCTGAGACAAAGGGGAGTTCTTTATATTTCATCTATCAAGGAGAATTATTTTACTGAGAATTATTTTACTGAGAATTATTTTACTGAGAGTAAAAATATGCTTTCATCAGACATAGAAGAAATATCCAATATCAAATATACACCTGGATGATAATCTCCAAACTGTATTCTTCTAGCTCATAAGTAGGAGAAGAGATTTCTTATTGAATTGGGGAAAAGAAACACAAAGAACTGAGTTAAAAAGTCAAGCACTTCTAAACTCCTAGGGCCTTCTCTGCTTTTAACTTCACTGTGTTTCTAAGTAATTAGAACCATTTCACCTAATGTCCATGGGGTCTCAACTAATTATTTGTTCCCCACACCAATGTCACACTTATTGACAGAGGCCTACTCTAAGCAGATTGATATAAAGCCTTGAGCTTTTGGGTAAGATTGATTTCACAAATTCCTAAATAAAATTATGGCCTAGAATTTAAAATGAAAGACATATGGTTACATTACTATAGAATAGTCTTCAAAACACATAATGGCAACTTTTAAAAACAAAAAAAAACACACCAGAAATAAGTCTAAAGGCAGCTATCATTGGACTCACCAGTGATATGTATTTTTAGACATATAAGACTGAAAAACGAACAGAAAAAGGTAGAAGAGGAGGAAGAGCAGGAAAGGAAAAAGAGGAGAAGAAGGATAAAGAAGAAAAAATAAAAATCTGGAACTTTAGAAAAGTAGGTCAGCAACTTTAAGGCATTAAAAATTGCCCACAAAGTGGTGTGTAGGAAAATAGAGTGAAGCTATAGAAACTGTCGATTGATAACAAGCTCTGGGCACTGGAGTTGAAACTGAGAGCTCTAGATTTGAGGGAGTAGGTGGACTGGTGATGGGGCTGGGGTAAGAAAGAGAGTTTTGGACACTAGTGGTGGTAAATTGAGGTAAGTAGGAGTACCAAGACCATAAAAGTCACAACATTGGAAACACCTTAACTAAACTATAAAAATTTGAAAACAGTTTCCATAAAACAATAAAAATCCAACTGGAGGAATAACCTATTGGACTAGAGACCTGGATTCAATCCCTGTACCACATGGTGCCCTGAGCATTACAAGAGTGACCCCTGAGCACTGAGCTGGGAGTAGCACCCCGAGTCCTGACATATAAGACTGAAAAACAAACAGAAGGAGGTAGAAGAGGAGGAAGAGAAGGAGAGAAAAAGAGGAGACGGAGGAGAAAGAGGGAAAAATGAAAATCTACTTTTATAAGCAACTTTGCCTGGCTGAGAAATAAATTCTTGAAAACTGTTACAAATCCTTATTTTTAAATTTGGTGTATTTTACCCAAACATAATCTGCTTGTCAGGCACATGTACAATTTGTTTTGTCTACTTTATAAGAGAAAAAGTGGATTCACTCTGATGCCCATTAACCTACATCCAAGAGCACAAGAAACTTTATCTGAAATAAGGGTAGCTCTGTAACACTGTCATCCTGTTGTTCATTGATTTGCTCCAGTGGGCACCAATAACGTCTCCATTGTGGGATTTGTTGTTACTGTTTTTGTTTTTGGCATTTTGCAAATGGCACAGTAGCTTGCCAGGCTCTGCCGTGCGGGCGGGGTACTCTCAAGAGCTTGCCGGGATTTCCGAGAGGGACAGAGGAATTGAACCTGGGTCAGCTGTGTGCAAGGCAAATGCCCTACCCGCTGTGCTATTATTCCAGTCCAAAAGAAGGATTGTGTGGTATGGCCGATTGCACAGGACATAAGGATAAAATTTTGTTTTAGTCATCAGATCTGAGTGCTTTTATTTGGTTTTGTTTGCTTCTACACCTGGTAGTTTTCAGGGCTTACTTATGGCTTTGCACTCAGGGATCACTCCTGGTAGTGGTGGGTGATGGGAAATAGTCTGGATTTGCCTCATACAAGGGACAGATCTTGCCCTTTATGTTATCTCTCCATCTCCTAGGACTGGAATGTGTTTAAGCTATGGTTCAATAAAGTGTGAAAAGTGATGGATAGGATAAAAAAAAGATATGTGCTAAGCATAATTTGGGGAATCAGCAGGGCTGTTCTTCCAGATTTATATTGGCATTTCAAAGAGGGTTTGATATCTACTTCACGGAAAGAAAAGTGAGTCAGTTCTTGCATAAGCCTTTTCCTCAAATTCTTTCAATGAAAAAGCTATCAAGGAGCCATCATTTGATGTAGTGTATCCTGAACTCTGTCATTAGAAGTCAATAGGAGAGACCATGAACAAACTTGAAGTGGCCAAGACAAACTGACACCTGACATTGGTTTCTCAGTCAAGTGGTGTGGGGCTCTCAAGAGCCTAACACTTTTAATCACCTATCACCCTTTGGGAAGACAGTTCAAGAGGAAGTGGTTGTCAGAAAATCTTAGAGCTGGATAGACTCTTCCAATTTGTACATTTTCCTAGACAATCAATTCATTCATACCTTTCAGTATATTTTCAAAGCTGCCTATGACTTTAAAAGGCTTAAGAGTAGCTGGTATAAAATTAGGAAAAGATTCTTAGGTTGGAGTTTTTACAAGTCTGCAAAAATGCTGGGACTTTACATTAGGAAAGCAAGCACTTTATTCTTGTCAATAAAATAGTTTGCAAAGATGTGGGTGAGCTTCAGGACTTATTGGGACCCTATGTACCATAGAAACTTCCAAGCTCCTCAGGAATTTTTGGATTTGTTAAAGGAGAAGTCCTCGGGGAACTGGGACATACTGTAGTCTGCTCCCACATGTCAACCTGGGGAAACTCAACACCTTCCTCAAATCAGCTTTTGAAAACATAAGAGCAGGCCATTGCCTTTACTTTAAAATTTTGTCTTCCAAAGGTTGAGCACAGATTTTTTTTTTGTGTTCTCAACTGTTTTCTGTTCCTTGGGCATCATAGATAACAGAAAACAAAATTCTGGGAAATGTACCAGATTCTGATTTGATAGC